CTTAATAAAATATAATCTCAACTGCTACACATCATAAGCAAACGACCTTCCTACTCCAAATTGCTCCAAATATGGAGTCATGTTGAGAAGAAGAAAAAAAATTCTTTCCATTTTTTCAGCAGATTGAACATTTTAACGCCATGACATTTTATTTGAAAATTTGTTGACAGAGAAATGACGAAGAATTTTTTTCTCAAAAAGGGTTGAGGACGCATTTTTGTTTGCAAGAATTGAAGGATTTTTTAAGAAATTTCTCGGCTCCTTTAAAGATTTTTATAAATAATAAGTAAATTTTCATGCTTAAATCATATATCGGTCATCGATCCTCAAATTATATGGCAGATTTTAAATCAGTACATCTCTTAATTTGAAACACATTAATGCCCACCAATTACCATAAAATTCTATTCCAACAAACTTGCTATTAATTTCTCATTCCAAAATAATTCATTCTAAAATATCAAATATCACGCTTCAAAATAGATTGAAGCTCATCCTTCATGATGTATTAGCTTCATCAATCCCACAGAAACCTCATAACAAACAAGCACACGGTATCATAATCAATACACGAGCACACAAGTCATTGACTTAACGCATAAATCACATCGAAATAAATATAAATTTGTTATCAAGCAGTTGAAATTTCAATAATACATGACCTATAAGCATCAAGTTAAAATAAATATATTTTTTAGGCGAGGAACAGACAGACATTTATCATGATATCATCATATCGTATTGAAATTATCGTTATAAAAAATCATTCAATATTTTTATTTCAGGTTTTAAATATGAAAATGTTTCTTTATCACCACAGGATATTTCATATGTTGAAACATATATGAGCATGTTTTAATGTGTACTGATATACAAGGCATAAGCAATTTTCATTTATTTTTCAGATGTTTGTATTCAAAATGAATTATTTTTTGATGGAAAATTTTGTTTTATTGAATATTTGGTGTTGTAAAGATGATGCAGTTTTGATGAATACATCACTTTATTTTGTTTTGAGCTAGCACTGGAGACAACACTGGACTGCAATAATATTATTTTATTAATTTAATCATGCATTACTGTAACCATTTTTTTCTAATTTCATATCAACTTACAAAAATAATTACAAAGTATCTATTTTCATGCTAAACTAAGTCCATAACCAAAAATATTTTCTCTAAATTAATCCAGAATATTTCAATATTGTTCCTCATTTAAATGTTCACTGGCAACTCCCATTCAATACTCTTCGTTCGATTTATTTTAGTGCAATAAAAAATATTCATTATTTATGAATCAAATATTTAAATACACACTCGCAGGAAGATATAGAGCTACAGTGATTTCAATTATCTATCAGAAAAATTTATGAGCTTTAAATGACTCGCGGGATATCGGTGGCAATAGAGACTCACAGAACGATTTTCATACTGTAAATGCACCTTGAGCTATAACTGAAATGAGAATTGAAATCGTATAGCTGAATGTGAATGTTTGTGAATAGTTCCATGTGTTCACATGCTTAAGCATAAAACAAGATATATAGATGTGCTCATACAAAAATATCGCAGTTTTTAAACATCAAAAATTTGAATTTTCTAAAAACACTAACACTATAAAAGAAAATTTTTAGGTTTGTTTTGCAAAATTTTCAACTTTCTGTTAAGTTTTGTTGATACAGGAGTATTGCAAATGCTTTGCTATAATTTAAAGAAACTGACTTAAGACAAATGTTGTTGCATCTGTCGATATTTAAATGAAAACTTGAAAATAGAAAATTTTAAAAATTTTTGTTTGTATAAGTACACAAAAAATAGTATGGTCGAGTATGGTCAAGTATACTCTGTATGAGCCCATCTATATATCTTGGCATAAAACAGTGCATAATATCTCAACATGAATCACTCTTAAAAAACATCTACATGTTACAAAGAGTTTAAAGACAAAATGGTACGTTTTGAAATTCAAATTTCTTCACTATACCAACTTTTATCTGCATTCGTACCTAAATAATGTAAGAACGAATATGGAACATAGGAACAACAAGCAGCAACAACAGTCACTTATAACTATAAGATTTATCGCATTCATAGGAAAAGGAAGTAGGGAATATATTTAATAGTGATATATTTTAACGATCGTTATTATTCTCAAGTGATTTTAGTTTCTAAGGAATATACCTTTTCGTATCAGTTCCTACTATGTAAGTTTATCGCGCTTTGTCGAGGCATAGAAGCTATATTGTGAATTGGTTCATCTTAAATTTTAGGAATCGTCTCTGAAATTGTTTTTAATGCTGGTTTAGTAATCAAATCGAATTTTCAACTTAAGGGATTCGAGTCTCATTGAATTTCACATCTGTTGAAAGAACTACACTTTCATCATACAGCCTTTAAGAACCTAAAAGACAATCTAAGAACAGCTCATGTAGTACCGCAAATCCTTCAAACTTTAAATAAAAATTCTCCAAAAAATAGCTAAACAGCAGAAGGAGAGCTGCTGCATCTGTATAGTATTCAAGAAATATAAACATAAAAAAAATGAAACATAGCTTTTTGAGATGAAAACGATAACGTTTACCATAGACAGAAAGAGAAAATAACGAAACGAAAAGGAGCAGCAAAAGAAAGCAACATTAAAATGCCTTTTTAAAAATCATTTTGAGATGAATGAGGAGCAAAAAAAGATGAAACGAGCTTGCTTTTTTCCAATGTGCAATGATAAAAGAGAAAAATTTTTCTTTTTCTTTGTATGGCGAAGAGTTTCTGTTCATGCTTCTATGCTCACATATTCCCTAATATAAAAACGACTTATTAAAAACTAATTTTTCAAATTTATGATAAATTAAGCACAAATGTGAATAAGGATTTCTTAGTTCATTTTTATTGAAGATGAAGATAAATTTAGAGCATGAAAATTCAGCATATTTATGCCGTTTTATGGGAATTTTCGGACAAATATTAAAACTACATGTTGTTTACATTTTAATAATTTTGGAGAGCTATCAATAAACTTTAATTTAAAACCAAGATTTAAAATTAATTCTTTAAATGATTTACTGACCTATATTTAATTCAATTTGATTGATCTATGGCATTCTTTAGTTTAGACATTTCAAAGATTTTCCTTTCCTGAATAAAATTCCATTTATGAAATGCTCTCAAAAAGCATGTATGTCAGGAAGTAATCAATCGAAGTATTCTTCTAATTCAACAATTTCATTTAAAAAAGTTCAAATGTGGATTTTCTTTGTACTATTTGTACTATAGGCTATAGGGATCATTCATAGATTACGTTCATGAATTTAGAAACCAAAATGCTTTTTAAGAGAGTGTGATTAGAATAAAGTCTGTGGGTCATTTTCAAGTTCATGAATCACTGGTTGACAAAATCAGTTTGTCACATATAAATGTCTTTAACATCAAGAAACTTAAAAGTTGTATGTTCCAAAACGTTCATACAAAACCCAATGTTTCTTTAAATAATGACAAAAATGCTCCAAAGAAGATTCAATATTGTTGTCAAGTACATATCCTGAAAATGACAAAAACATTTCTATTGAAAATTCGAATCACAATAAAGATTTTATGACCTTAAAGTATTCGAACTCAAAAATTAATTTGAAGTAAGGAAAAAAATAACGTGATCAAGATCATTTCCAGCGAATAGCATCATCTATTATTTACACACGAGATATTTTTAAACATTCAGCAAAGTCTGTAAAGCAGAAATCCAAATGATCAATAAGACAATAATTATAAGACTTTATTATTATTATTATTATTATTACAATGCATAAAGTGCCCTCAAGACACTTTAGTTAACAACTTAGTATGTTCTTTTTGAGGTAGAAGAGAATAAGCAGATCATGAGCTCATCGCATTCCAAGGCAGTTTAATACTTAATGCTTATGTTTTGTGTCACGCACAGCAACATTTCGGCTGTAGGAATTCCTCAGAAAATAAAATGAACTTCCAGCTTTAATATTTACTTTCAATTACCCCCTTCACGTTCGCACTACAAAAACTTCGTAAAGAAATAAAAATTGATTAAAAATTTTTCTTTCTGTTAAAAGTTCATGAAAAAGCCATTGAAGAACGACGACAACGAAGAGAACAATGTTGAATGAGGGGCGCGCGTCGGAAATGAAAGACGAAAAAGTATGAGAAAGGAATTACATGAATGTTGAATGACTTTTCATATTTTGCTCTCTTTATAAACTTTCCCTTCGAGCATCTTCCATTTATAAATATATTTCTTGCTTGTCTGCCTCTATGCCTTGCCTTGCCTCACGTTGAATGCGAAATGATGAAGTTACTTAAAAAGTTCATGCATTATTAAGAGACATTTTTAGAGACAGCAGATGAAGACGAAGAAAACAACAAAGTTTTACGGTCGAGAATGGAAATTTTTTTGGAACAAATGAAATATTTCAAAATGTAAAATGTTTCAAGCTTTTGTTGTTTTGAAGGAAAGGTCTTAATCATACGTTCCACACAATTTCACAATAATATATTGTTTGGTAATTCACAAGGGATGGCTTAGTCATGATTTATAATAACGTAGTTGTATACACATATAATCGTGTGTATTGTAAACTATTCTCAACATGAAGCAGAAAAGATTGTGGATAGTTAAATTAAGTGAATGAGAAAATTGGATTGTAATCTTGTGAATGGCAGTTGTGAGGTGACTTTGGTATTTTTGTATGCTTTTAGGAGCAGCTTTTATTAGTCAAATGATGATGTTGCTGAACAATTTTCTAACACCATCTCAAGTTAAACTACACGTCATGTGTAGATGTATCTATGATCAACTACATCCCTTTCTTCTCACCTACTGCCAAATGAATCGTTAAAAATTCCTAAATTTCATAAAAAAAATAACCAAAACTTGCCACCCCCAGACTAACATGATTCTAAACTAATTATATCCTCTCAAAATTTAGTCACAAAACCAGCATGAAAAGAATAAAATTTAATAATATCAAACATTTTATTGCCCCTCGTGTACACAAAAGTATTTCAAAAGCACTTTTAATCCACTTAAATATTTTTCGTAGCCATTTTCACAACTCATCTTTGCCAAATGGAAATGTACTAAATGTCTGCAAATAAAAGACACCTCGGGTGCTGTTGTAGAGGAAACGAGAAAAAATTTGATCCATTAAATTAATTTTCTTTCAGGTCTTGTAAAATACAGACTGAATGGAATGACAAACATACTTATGGTCTATGTGCTCACCCATCAAAACCACATTTGATCCATTATGGCAATTACGATGTGCAGTAGGCAATTGAATTAACGACAATTCACATTGATGAGCAAGAAATGTAGTCGGAAGGAGAATTGATTCAGCAAAATAGTTTGAGACACGATAATGGCTACATGCTGTGAATGAGATGAGATCTGATGCTTCACAACCCGGCTGTGGTGCTACACCTCCATTAGGAAAGAATGCTGCATGTCCTCTATCAATAAATTGCATCAGCATGAGCAAAAAAAAAATAATAAAATAATTTTCTACCTGACTTCAAATTCACCAGCCAATCCGGCAGACGTGTGAATTGAATCAACAAATAGGAAGTCATTTCGGCTATATGCATCAGTCGAAAATTTTGTGAAAAATGGTCCAGCAGCATCTAGAGCTGTTAATCTAATTAAGAAATCAGTAAAGGATCGAAACACTTCTGTCCCATATTCAAACCATTTCCATTTTAGTTTATATTTATGAACAAGCACCAAACTCGTCCGCATTGTTGATATATTCAACGGAATTCTTTTATTTGAATTTAACGATATATAGCTTGGAACTTCGGGATTTAGCTATTTTTCGACAAAAAATTCCTAATGTCATATGAATGAAAATAACTTTGTAGCTTGATAAACTTATAAAATGATACAACTCCAAACGGTGTGAATATGATTGGAAATTTTCTCTTAGTTTTTCTCTATTCAGCATTCATTGTTTGACATTTAGGTATTTTTATAGACTAAAGATTTTAACTCGTTTATCACTGCTGAATATTTTATTCAAATATATTGTTTAGTATTATTTTAACTACTCACCTACCAATTTCGCCATCAAAGCATCTTCCTATATGCGTTGCTATATGACATCCCAAACTATGTCCAATTACGTGAAGATTTGCAATATCAATTTGAGTCTCTTTTACAAAATATCTCAATTGTCCACAAATTCTACCAGCAATGCTTGTAATTATACGTCTTGCAACAACGTACGATAGTTGGGAAGCGTCCCGCCAATCAACTGCCAACACACGACTATTGTTTGCTTTTAGATAAGCATGCAACACTGGATTTACTGAGATATGATTTGAAAAGGCATTCCACCCGTGAATCATTAATTTTGTTTCGTTTGCAAGAAAGTCGACAAGCTTCCATCCTGTATTGTAAAGTGGAGATATTTCTATTGGATTATCGATTGAGTTTATGCTGTTGAAGAATAAAAAGGTATGAGATTAAAAGAAGGACTCATGCATTTCAATTTTATGCAGCCTAAATTAAACATCCGTAGCGTAGACCTTTAAATTATGAGTGAATCAGGAAAAAAAACAATTTAAAAATTTTTCAAAAAATCTGAGCTGACAACAGCTTCCAATGAAGCAGAAATATTCTCTCTAGCTTTTTTAATTGACCCCCGCCCACCTCAGACCAATCCTCATTTTTCCTTCCTTATTATTCTCTATTTTTTGACATTAATTACTTTGGATAAAACAGCAATTTAATTGTCGACAATTCACGATCGTAATTTTCCACCAGATTTTCGCCAACAGCACCGAAAACAAATAAAACGAAAACTGCGAAAATTTTCATGTTTCCTGTCGTTTCACTTTTTCTGTGCCGTTTATAGAAATAACCGACAATGCAATGATTTTGAATTGCTATAAGAACTTTTATTGCTTCTGAGTCGCTCTGCTCTTTGTGGCCCTTTTCGTACCAGAATGCAGTCGAACGATGTTATCTTCAGTAATAATAGAATTTTATTAAAATTGAAATGAAATGAAACGATAAAAATTATTTTTATTTTTTTGAGGTCTGAATGGAGAAAATTTTAATTTTAATTTTATTTCCATTGCGAAAAAATTACTCAATTATTACTCATATAAGCAGTCTTATCAACTCGCTTGTGGATGAGAAGTTTAATAGAAATAATTTGAATTTTGCGTGCATCACGATAAACATGAGAGAGAGAGTAGAATAGGTTTTAGTGAAGATGATACGTGTGCATGCAGCTAATGATTGTAATTTTCGTGAACAAAAAGTTGATGATAATTAAGACTTGAATGTCTTTGTTGTGCTTAATTATATATGATATTTTTTTACTTTTGTTGAAAGGTTTATTTCGATTTGGTTGTTAATTTTTGTGAATTTTGTTCAATAATATTATAAGATTTCTAAAAATTAAACCTCAAAGTTATTAACTATGCTACATTCTAGAAAATTGCTTATTTTTCAATTAAAATAAAATAAGATAATTAAATTTTAATTAGAAGAAGATTCAACTTGGAAGAAAAAATTATTTTCCAAACAATAATTAAGTTAGTCTTTATAGATGCTGCTTTAAAAGCTTTTCAAAGATTTAATTACGACCAACAGAAAAATTCGATTCTGGAAATTTGGTAATCAAATATATTTTCAGAATTAATGGAATTCTTAAATGAGATAAATGGTGACTAGAGATCTTAAACTGCATCTTGAACAACATAGTTTAAATTTAAGTTTTATAGATTTCTACTGATATATTAATTAATTCATAGGCATAATCAGAATTGGACAGTCTCATAGAACCTCATGAAAAATTGAAAGAGTAAAAAAATCTGGAACCCATCAATAACCACTCAAAAAATATTTGGACATGTCTGCAAGTATCTACTCAGTCAAATTCTCAAAACTTTTCAAAATCTATTGAAGTTGAGCTTCAACTATACGATTTAGTCTCCTACTTTCAATGCTCGAAACATTCACGTGGCATAAACAATCTTGATGATTAAATTTTCTTAATCGTTTCTGCGAAAAGTGTTTACAACTCAATGTCAAGACTCTCTTTCGAGAATGCTCTCTGACTTTTTCCATTTCAAACTGCTAAGTCGATACAATATGCTGACAACTGCTTTAACAAAGCCTGGATTTGATTGTTTTTTGAACGATTTGTTTGTAAATAGTGGTTGAGTTTTGGGTTCAGATTGTCTTGAGTATGAAATTATCTAATGAAATTTCCATCTATAAATGGTTTTGCACCGCAATGGCTAGTTCTATACTAGCTACAAAACACAAAATGCGTCACAGACCACAAATTTTCCATAAAATAATTTCAAGCATCCAAAAAAAATGCTGTAACAATCACAAACGTATCAGATTTAATTGAAATTGAATACGAGTAAACATAAAACTTGTGCATGATTCAATCACGAGTGACATTTTATGAATCTCTTTATTCACTGTCGTCTCCATTTCTCTCTGTAGTATGTATACACATATCTAGCAGTATATACGATATTTGTAATAAAAACCCATCGATTTGAGAAGCACATGAGAAGGAAAAAAATATTATTGAAAAATTGAAAAAAAGGAAGAAAAAGAAGATGAAAACTTTTCTGATGAATCAGCACAGAATTTGTCAAATAAGAAGAAATAACATAAAAAATAATCAAAATGCATTTTATCGGTTCGTTTTCCCCTTCTTATGTACTTTTTTTATGCTTATTCTCAAATGCCATACACTCAGATACTCTCTTGAGTATCAATCAAATAAATTTAAGAAGTTTAGCAGCTGAAAATATATAGGAAAAAATTTTAAAAGTATTCACAAATACATTTTTCATCATTTTCTGTCTGAGATTCTCGGGGTAAGATTTATGATTTATAGAATCATTATTGAATGAGATTGCAAGTTAAAGTTCTTATTTCTTCATAAAATTTTATTGAAACATGAATGAATTGTGAGGAAATCATTAGAATTTGATTTTGAGTTTATCGATAAAGGATTGAGTTTTAATTTATGAAGTATCATGACTAACGGTATTGAGCCATATGAAGTTGAATTTGATATGATGGTTAGACACGTGATGCATTCCATACAAATGGACATTTTAGTTCCATCAATTTAACAATTTTCTATCCATATCTATAGTTGTTTATCCTCAAAATTGCACATTTTTCAGTAAAAAAATTCACAAAGAACTTTATCCTATGTAACATAAGTATCGTTTCCACATGTCTCTTTGATATGTCCTCCATAAAATTGTATGATCCATTTGTCGCAATCATTATTATTCGTATGAAATTTTATCCTCAATAAGATTTTAAAAAAGTTTCCGATTCCTTTGATGATGATCATTGAGCATGAATATTCTCTTCCGCATATTCAAAGAGATTTTCCTGTCCTTTATTTTTGTACTTTGTAAGCATTTATAATGGACTTTTTTTCTCATCCAATTTCCCATTACATTTGCTTTTCGTATGCGAAAATATAATTTTGCGTTCGTATTTTCAAGCTTATTTCTTTTTCTTTTTTTCCTTGAATTTATTCAAGGATTTTGAAATTTATTTTATTAAAAAGCTTGTGGTTATTGTGGCATTATGAAGAGCTGCAGACTCCAGCACTTTAACGTGTGTAAATTAGATCACAGAATCTGCATTTAGGTGTCAAAAACTCTTGTTATTCCAATGTCTTATGAATGTACATAAATAAAAGAACCTAGACTATTTGAATCAGTGATCAAAATTCTAAAATAACATGAAAATGTGTCAAAATAATACTATCAATTGAATCTTGTAAGTCACATCAAGTAAACCTTTCTTAAGAAAACATCCTACAGCTATCTCCCCAAATTTCGTCGAACTACCTCCAGCAACATTTCAAGCATTCGATAAAATTATCTAGCATGATCAATCTGATTCAAATTGATGAGAGCGTTTAGCACATATTGACACAAATCCATCAATTTACAATCCTATAACCAAAAAATTCCATCAGCTTATACAGCTCAATATGCTGACAATCAAATGTATTCACAAATGAAAATATTGATGTTGATGATGATGAAGACATATCTCAGAAAATGTGGAGCAGAACATCAATAATCAATATACATCATTTGCTCGAGTATGCACATGAATCAATTTATTAAATCTTTAGTTTTTAATTTTACCAAATTTTTCAATTACACGCGAAACAGCACACGTATCGATTCCCAAATGAGCACAATTCAGTACATACCACACCAAATAAGACTCATTCGTTTCATTTTTCATATTTCGACAGCTTATTACAATATGTTCCATCATTGTGAATGATATTTGATCGTTTTTCGCAATATCACATCCTTCGGTGATGTAAGTTTGTATGTATATATATTATATAATCTGTATAGATTCATATTTTCAAGTTTAAGAGAAATTTGATTACGATGTGAGTAAATCAGATAACTTTGAATGGAAGTTGTAAGGATAGAAACATCGTTGACTTTGAATATATTCATAAATATCATTACAAATTTTCTGTTGTTCTTCCAGCACATCTTGAAAGTGTATTTAAGTACACTGATAGATCAGTCTCTAACCAGTGCGATCCATAAATAATAATTTTCCGAGATAAATTAATCTATTTTGTAAAAATATTTTCCTTGTCGTATATGAACAAACTGATCATCAGTCACACACAGTACTTTTCAAAAACTTGCTTTCACAGACACAAAAAATCTCTTTTTCCCATATCACTGTAGAATATCTCATATATTTCACTCACATTACATATTCTGCATACAACAATGATGAAAATTGTAAGAAGTGAGAACGCAATAAATGTGCAAATCATGAATATGATAAATGAATGAAAGAGAAAGGAAACGGCACAAAAAAATTTCCATGCTATGTGATATTTCTGTCGCACATAGACACATAGACATGAATCTACTATCACATTCGATCGACTCACTTTCATTTTCTCTGAAAACATTTTTTATTTCCACTTTTTTTTTGTCTCTTATATTCGTCAGAACAGAAGGAGAAGAAGCTGCAGCAGCATCAAAAGTATCATAGCATGTTATTACTGGAAACAACAGTAGAAATAATATAGGCACGGATATAGCAACGGAAATTGAATCATGAACAAAATTTATGTGCGTCTATCTGAATGTTTAATAATCATCAATGACTCGATGGCTTTAAGGAATGAAAAAAAAGAAACTTTGTGAATGGAATGAGAAGTAATAGAATGTGGCAATTGAATTTTGTTTTTCTCATACAAAAGATGCGGAGAGGATTATATATATGTCTGAGCATTTATGTATGATGCACAGAGATGAAATATGAAAAATGTTTGAATTGGAATTGAAATTTTTTTTCTCTTTTTTATGCTGGTTTGGTTTTAATGGAGATGAAGCAAAAAATGACGGAGAAGAACGAAGAATGAAAGAACATTGTGGTAGATAAAAGTCAACATGATGTGATAAGAGGTTGAAGAATTTTTTGAATTTTAAAATGTAGAATTTAAAGTTTTTCATTTTAGATAAATGGATATGCACCAATAAAATCATGAATTAAATGAAAAATTGAAAATTCGCAGCACATTTTTTCCTAAAATTTTTCATCAAAAATCAACCAAATTCAAATTTATATCTGCAATCCATAACCAAAACCACACGCGATAAAAATTCATCATTACGCATCAAAAGTTTTCACCCCGATTCCCACCTAATTAGCAATTCATTGAAATTTAAATTATATCAATTAATTGAAAACATTTCGGTCTATTTGTTTTCATTCTAATCCCACACAATGAATATCCAGCAAATTTTCGTACACATTATTCAAATTAACTCATATCAATATAATTTTAAATTCAATTTAATTTTTAATTAGCTGCTAATTAGAAAGAGCATTTAATATGGAATTATATGAACTAAAAAAATATTGGAACAAAGAGTCGGGAGAGCATTTTTATCGTAATTGGATTAAAATTTGCATCAGTAAATGCGAATGTGGTAATCCTTTAATTAAGCTCGCGATATACAAGTTTATAGAACTTCTGAGGGGGTTAACTCGAATTGAGCTATAAAACTAGCCCTCTTCCCATTTTCTAACCCAAAGCTCTCTGCACAATAAAAACATTCAGTTTTGAAAGCAATGCCATGCAGTCGAAGATAAAATGTCATTTAAATCAACCCAAAATCCGTCATTCAATAGAATCAATTAGCTTTTTAACCTCCAACACATGAAATTTTACATAATACCTCATTAACATTATGGCAAACAAAAACGAGATATTTGCCTACGCTACACAACCCCCTCCGATATCTACTATGGTGATTGTAGGTACAAAAAATACTCTCATTTCCATTAACTCAGTGTTAAATAACGGTTTCATGCTCCAGTAACCACGTTAATTGCGTAAAGCGTTGTCGAGGAATAAGAAGACAAGGATCATCATACAGCAAAAAATGTAAAACATTTCGTTGGCATCGAAACACGTTGCCATGACAATCGACAGTCGCAACAAACAAACAAAATATTTATTGTGTATTATTTTTTAACTCTCTAAAATTAAATTTCAATTATGAATTTAGATCTTGATGATCCATTGGGGGATTTATTAAGTGACGGAAGTAATGATAGTCTTTTTGGAATTGAGCCTGCAAAAAAGTCAACAGTGCCAAAAGTGGAGAAAAAAGATGAAAAGCCAAAGACTGCCAACAAAAAGATGGAGCAACTGTTTGGAATTGCAGAACAGCCAATTAAGACTACAAAAGCTGATGCCAAAAACGATAATTTGCCATCATCACCGAATAAAAATCTTCCGAAACAACAAAAACTACAGCCACGAGCACAAGAGCACCTTGAAACGAAATCCAACGACAGTCTATCCTCTGACCTTGGTTTTGACCCGAGAAAACCAAAAAAGAAAGGAAATATTCTTGATGAGCTGTTAGGCATAAGCGAGACGACTTCAACGAAGACACAGCTTCCATCAAAATCAACAGCAGCATCGAAAGCACCAATTTCTCGTCAAACAACATCGGAAACAGTGTCTGAAAATGTGACAGTAGAAAATCCTGCACGTAAGCCAGGTGGTCGACGTCAATCGGCGGTAGCATTTAGTGATCCGTTAGGATTATTTGGGACAAGTGAGAAGGAAAAGGAGCGTGGAAAATCACAACCCACACATGCAAAAAATACACGTAAAAGTATCGCCGTTGCCAGTTCCGAGTGGCTTTTTGCTGACGGAAATATGACAGGTGGAACATCGGATAAAAGTGGGACATTTGTCAAAATGAAATCATCGCCACATATCCAAATAACATCTAATTCCGAAGAGCGAGTAGAAGATGAGCCTGGATCAAGCAATGTGACAAGTCTCGAGTCAAAAAACACATTGACGACAATGCCGTCACAAAGTACAATGAGAAATCCACCACAAATCATGGAATCGCTTGCAAATGAAACAACAAATACATTGAATAGCTTGAAGCAACAGGAATTCCAACTCATGGTTGCATCACAAATGAAAACACAGGAGAATGTGCTGATTGAGATGAAAAATAAGCAGCAAGAGCTCCTTAAACAGCAGGAGAGTCAATTCAATGAACTACTGAGGAAACAAATTGCACGACAAAGTGAATTGGAAGAAATTATAAAGAATCAACAAGATAGGATAAATAGTCATATTCAAGCATTGATAGCATCACATGCACAAGCGCCATTACTCGACATGTTCACGGGAGGTGGAGGCACAGATAACATCCCATCAACAACCGCTACTTCAGCTAATAATCCACTCGAGAAAATTGAACTCGAAGGAGATGTAAAGCGCTTAGAAATGGAAAAATTACGTCTTGAGGACCTCCTATCGAACATTAACGATAATCATGAAAAGGAAATCATTATGATAGAGCAGAGCTACAAGAAGCGCATAGCATTGATGGAAGAGAATTTAGAGTCAATGGAGCGACGATATAAAAGTGAGATAGAAGCATTGGAGACGTTTCATAGCCATAAAATTAAATCGATCAGTGATGAGCGTGAAAATGTCATCAGTAATTTTCAGTCAAAGATAAAAATGATGGAGGAAAGTCATCAAAATTTTATCGATAAACTCAAGCAGAGTTACGAGAGTGATTTGGAGATGCTCAAGAGACATTATGAGGAAATGATGCAAAACATTAGGAAATCAAAATTTATGGAATTTGCTATCATGGAAGAAAGTTCCTCTTATGCTGATATGATAAAGCGAGCTTCCAGTCATTTAGAAACTGCCTCGGGTGATATACAATCGTTACACGATGTTTTGCAGGAAAAGCTCGGTACACTTGAGCGCGATAGAGACATTATGCTGAATTCGAGAGAAAAGAGACTTGTCGGTATGCATGTTGATTTTAATACTTATGCTCAGAGATGAATTTCATGTGAGGCACTTAATCTTTTTGTCATACCTATGTCCTTATTGGAACCTTGATGTTAGATTTTAAAATTTCTTCGATCTGCTACAAAAATCAGTTCTTTTTGGGTACAGCCCTGCCCATACTTGTCATGAATAAAACAATTCACTTAAATGAGATAAATGCTGCCATTTTGTGAAATCCAACGCGATTCTGGTTGAAAAATGAGATTTCAATTAAATGTCTCATTACTCACCGACAGGATATTATGGTTAATGACGTCTATTAATATTATAAAATTTAATAGCTCATTAATTACTTTTTTATTTCCACGAATAAATTAATATTGAAAATTTATTCAACTGGCAGCTCTCAAATTATATTTTTTGCACGGGCTTTTGAGTTTACTGAAAATTATGAATTAAAAAAAGTTGAAATGATGTGCGATGAAAATGACTTATTTTTTTATATTGTTTGCACTTTTTCAACAATCTGGAATTTCAAATTTGAAATTTATTAAAAAAATTTGAATTCATGAAATTAGGCTCACTTATTTTGGTACAATTTATAGCAACTGAGTTATTAACTCAAATTTTTGAATTATTTTTTTAAAAACTTTTTTTTTGTAAATTTACTAAATTCTACCTCCACATCCCCTTTCTATTCTTATAAATTTCAATAGCAAATTTTGCTCCGAAAATGATTGAAGCTGCTTAAAAAGAAAACTTTCTCTTTGGTGCTAAAAACTTTTCCTTTAAAATGTTTTTTCCTTGTTTTTTCCAATTTTAATTAATTTTTTTCTCATTCTTTTTCACATTAATTACCAGAACAACAAAAATTATTGGAGCGTACACGGGAAGCATCAGAAGCGGAGCGACAAAAACTCTTGGATTTAGTACAGACACTAGAGTTTAAGCTTAATGCAATTGAGCAAGTAAATGAGAAAAAGTTTTTTATTTTTTTTTGTTCATTAATTAAGGGAATTTTCTGCAGCATTTTTGTGGATACGATTCTGATTGAATGTGTTTGTAGAATGGAGGAGTGCATCTAGAGGATGTTTAAGATGTGAATGGTCATATTTTTTACACAAGAAGACTCTTAACATAGTCATAAGGTCTATTTTTACTTTCCACGTAAATATTTTCTGGGTCGGACCTAATGCCTCACTCTCACTTTTCAATGAAAAATCTAAGAGATTTTTTAGAAAAAAATGTCTACCTCCTGACTCAATTCTGTGACATTTTTAATATATAATCTTCCTACCCCCTACATTCAACCGAATTCAACTAGTTCTATTTACATTCACAATCCACTATAAGTTGATTGAAAAAATAGTCCAAGTTTTGCCTTAAAATATGTGCTGCAAATTTGCTCATTTAAACCATTATATAATCAATGAATACAGCATTAAAATCATTACAGAGATCCGATGAGGAGCAGTGGAGCTTGAAGCAAAAACTTTTAGCATTTGAAGTTGAGCGTAAATCCTTTCAAAAAGAAAAAGACTTTTTACGCAATCAAATTACAAATGATCAGCAAAAAGTGCAAGTACGACTCATCTATAATTCATTAGATTTATTTTAATTAAATTAACCTCGTTCTCTCTATTCCTTACTAAACTGCTTGTGTGCCATATTGAATACATCAAATATATTGAACATTGAAAAAGGAACTCAAACAATCACAGTTGAATGAGCACGCAAAATTGCTAAAAGAGATTGAAGATGAGCGCTTAAAATTACAGGAAGAGAAAGCCCGAAATGAAATTGCCAAAACATTAAATTCGAGGAATGCTGACGATTCAGGACGCTCTCGAGTGGAAATTGATGCTGCCGTCAAATATGCTGAAGTAAATATTCCTATCTGTAACATTTTCTCTTGCATACTTTTGTGTTTAATGTTAATGAATGAATTGGTTATGTTTGATGCAATGGGTTGATAACTTGTTAGGAATGTATTGGATAGAGAAGTACTTAATCCTGCCAAACTCCTTTAAGGGCTCTTTAACAATTAATTTTAAGAAAGGGTCTGAAAAAGCTTTGGAATACATGTAAATGGTTCCAAAATTCATGAAGATTGGGGCCCTTAAAGACCTTTGAAAAACGCTTAGAATGTCTTCTATATAGTTTTTTTTACTGATCACAAAAAGAGTATCCATCCCTTATTTAATCTCTTCTCATTCACCTGGCTAATCTCAAATTTATTTTGAAAAAGGATCAGGAATCCTTTTTATCTCCTTATTTAGATACAAACTATGCTATTCTCTTTCTATCTTACTTACCTTTTCTATGCACATAAAGTTGATGTGTGTTAGACAAGGTAAAGGCACTCAGATTATTTTTTTCCTAATTCATATTTGTTGAATGTTTGCTATATGAAGAAGGGGGTTGGAAGCAAACCTGGAGACATGAATTAAAATTTAAATCGACATTATTTAAGAATCTGAATCTTCCAAAAATTCGTAAATATTGTACACATACCAAGAATAAATTCACAATGTGCTCATAACAAGCATCCGACCCTACTGTAATAAGCTTATTCAAACAAAATTTTCATACTTTTTGCTGTGAGAGATGAAAGTTTTTTCCTGCTGATCAAAGCAGTTTTCAAAGCAAAGATAGTATGGGACAATGAGCAGCAAGAGAACTTAAACTATTTTTTAATTAAAATCCATTCCTCATTCCAAACTTCTATTTGTGATGTACATAAAATTCAATTCTTTATATTTTATCCAAAAATAAAACTATAGGATGCAGCAAAACAATCAGAAAAGGAACGTGAACGTTTGATTGAAATGCAACGTCAATTGGATGGAAAGCGACATGAGATGATGGACCGTGAGAATGCTTTACGAGTCAAGCAATCTGAGTTGGAAAATTCAATTATCAGAACTAAACAAAGAGAAGTATGTTGGATTGAGAATTTCCTTAATGTATTTTTTGAAATGATATTTTGTGTCAAATGCTAGGGGAGGTCAATATGCAAAAATTTTAGCGGGTACAAACTTTAATTTTCAACATTGACAAATTTTTTAACCATTTCAAAATTTGAAGAAAAAATTTTAATCGCTGGAAATTTTAAATCTTAATATGTCCAACCCCATGCTGCCTTCAAATTTTATTGCATCTTTCAATCTTTTCTTTCTCCTTTTCCATTTTCTTTCGACTTGAATAGAAACAAGCAGAAAATTTTCTAAAGCAAACAAAGAAAACAGAACTTACGTTGATGGCAAAATATCAATCGTTGCAAAAGTACACGATGGAATTATCGGAACGTGAAACGAGAATTGCCAAAGAGAAGCTTGACATTAATGCTGAAAAGTTGGAATTGCAAGCACAGCGCAAGAAACTTTTTGATACACGCTGCAGTTTGTGTAAAATTGGCGATAAAGCGAACGAGCTAAAGGGCATTATTAAGCATCAGCAGAATGGCATTAACGACGATGATTTTGATAATATTAACAGTGTCAATGATGAGAGAGCAGATGGCGAAAGCTTCGGTACTCTTTTCAAACACGAAATGAATTTAATGACAAACTTTACAGAGGATTTAGAAAATGTGCCAAATTTAGTTGACATGAATGACGACATGCTCGATTCTGACTTGCTCATGTTGAAGCTTGATGTCATAAATTCCATGTCTAGATAAATTTTTCTAATAAGATGAAATAGTGACATCAAAGCTTCAAAATATGCACTTTTAATTGGTTTTTTTGCAAATATCTTCATCAAGCTACAAATGTCTGTAATTTATGCTGACCTAAATTGTGAAGATACATTTCAAAAATACCATTAAATATATTTAAATTTATAAAGACCCAACAAAGCCTTTACAGATTTATATTCTTACTGATAATGACGTATAAGACGATTATTGAAGGAAAAAAATTTACATAAAATGTCAATGAATATTATTAACATAAATATTTGAGTGTTTCCCATTTTACCCTCTTATGTGTGATACGTGATCCTTTCACTTTCTATTATGAACATGCACACAGACATGATTGTTGTTATTGAACCCCAAAGAACACGATGTTAACATTTTTATTCTAAAAGTAAATAAAGGAATTTTTGTGGAATTTTACTTACTTCTTTAATGTTGATTCTACTGGATAAACTTCTTTTAATATGATTTGAAGTTATTGAAAGTCAACCGGATCAGTGAAATAGAAAGCATAACGACGTTGAACTGCCTCAAATATACTTTAATTCAAAAATATTTCCTCAAACTTTATAAACCCAAATGCCATAATAATTAATCAACCATCAAAAAAATAAATATTTTATTTTTTAAAAACTTTTATTTTTCATAAAGAAATACAAAAACCTTAATTTGATAGTGAGAACTGTTTACCTTAAATGTGATCCTTAAAATATTAAAAGATATTGACTTGATTTTCAATAACGTCTCATCGGTTTACCATCAAACATGTTTAGATTATTTTTTCTAACGTGTTCCTGAATGACGCTTCTGCCTGTTATTTTAAAGAAAAAATTAAGCTTTATAAATTTAGTGACCACTCTAAAGTATGTCTTAAGTCAGTCAAATTTACCTTCATCAAGAAGTCGCTCAGATAATTCAATATTTCCCCTTGTAGACTTTACTAGAGCATACATTAGCGGTACCATTTCGTGAACGCAGTTGAATTTAGTCACAATATGCTCTGCCTTCATTATAAAATCTTGCTGTGAATGCGTCCCTACATTATTGAAATTAGCAATAGATTACTAATATTTTACAAATTTCTACTACGAGCTTTCATTCACTTTCTTGCACCTCACAAAGATCATCTTATGCCTGATACTCACCACTATCTTGGTATTCATCTTCAATAAAATGCGATTGCTCTGTTAACTCTGGATGACTATGTACAGGTTCCGATGGCTGTAAATGTGCAGATGTTGAAAATTCATTATCTTCATTATACTCTCGAGGATCGAACCCACTATCTGGTCTATCATTATCAGTTTGATTGGACGTTTCATCAAATTCATCATTCTCATGACTAACAAATTCATTTTTAATTGCTATTGGCATTGGAACCTTTGGTTGATGTGGAATTTGACCTTCAAGTAACACACGAGATTCATCTTGTCTATGTGCACGTCGCATTGCAGTTTGTAATGCCATGTCACGCTGTCTATCATTTGTTAATTTACACTTTTCACAATTACAATATCGATAAGCACAAAATCTTTTATGAGCACGTAATTTAATTTTTAAACCATGATTACTGCACCGAGCACAGTTTGGTAGTGTTCGAGAATTTGGTTTTACATTCATGATTGCACTTTTTAATATTTCAACATCATATTCTCTTTGATCAATGCTCAATGTTACTGTGTAGCAATTTGTTTACAAGTTTTTATTAATGATTTATTCGAAAACAACTGCAAAACAAGTTTTATGGATGATAAATATCTTTATTCTCTAATTGTCGTAATATTATTGAGGCTCTTTATGCCAATAACTTGATTTTGCATTAGCAATTAAATTTACCCTCTGTTTAGGAACAAAACTTCATTGATTTTCAGTCCACGGACTTTCACTTGAATTAATTTTATAAGTTTTGTGTCTCTTTTATTGTCTTTTTGCACTTATAAGTGTTCACTACTCTCTATTTTGATTCTAATATAATGAAAACATTGTGTTCTCTCTAAAATACTGTTAGATCGAGAGAGAAATAATTTTTTGAGAGAGTAAATTTTGTAATGAAATGAGATAAAAACCACATAAATCAATCGCTTCTAGTTATTTTTGAGAGTTTTTATACTTTTTGCCAGCGAAAAAAAAATCTTTTAGATAATTTTAAATAAATAGTCAGTGTAATCCAGATGACCGTCTCGAAATTTCTGCGGCAACTTCTTATTCTTTATAATTTTGCTTCTGTTCTCATTCGTTGCGTCAAGCAAAAAGATATAATCAACTGAGTATTTTTGTTTCAAATCAGCTTCTTTAAGGAAAATGTTGCTATAGTCAGCACTTTGTACGTCTGTTAGGAGCATTATAATTATTATTTCAGCTACTCCGAATGGAAGTGTCTTTTAAAGAAATGCCATAAAGCTAGGAAAGAAAATATGTTCGCACATGAGTTTGCGTTTAATGCGCTATATTCGATCATGAAAGGATAAAAAATTTACTAGTTTGCTTTAGTTGGCTGATTCCAACTGCAACAACAAGACACAGACAATCATATGTTGCATTTATTTAAATACAATGAAGTCTTGGTAAATTCATTATTCATTCCAGACACTGTTATTTTCGCGGTTCTCGAATATTTTCTATACATTGTTATTTTTTTGGCATTAAGATTTTTTTTTTCTTCTCATTTTTATTCTCGCATCAAAATATTTTTAGATCCCAACACAAAAACTATCAATTTGTATTTTTGTAGCCAGCAAAATTATGATCGAAAATTTTTATTGAAGCTTACCATATTTAAATTTATTTTAAATGGCAAAGCACCATACCCAATTTTTAGTAATGGATGAGTTAACAGTATTCAAATATGATGTATAAAATTCTTACATTGTGGAAACTTACTTATGACACTTAACAAAACTGCAGTCAAAATTCTTTAAATTAATTGAACATCATTTCTGAACAAACCAGTTTAAAATTGCTGGTTTTTAATATTTTCCGTCACTTTAAAAATAAACAAATTTATTGATGAAAATCTATAATTTTTATAATTTTTTTTTTATATTTTTAAAATATATTAGAGAAAAAATAATTGGATTTCACTTCTGCTGCTTGATTTCTTGTTAACTGAAAATGTGATGTAAAAATTCTTGATTCTATTTATATTTCAATTTGGATATTAATTAAAAATAAATAAAAATTATTCGTTCAAATTCTATTGGAAAATATATATATGTAGTACTTTACAAATGGTAGCTTCGAAGATTAACACTTCATATTTGAATTAAGTGCTTGAAGAACCTCAGCAAGTGATAACAATATAAGTTTAACTTGATTGCTTAAAACTTTTCAAACAATATCACACGTTTCTAAGGTTGTCATCCCTTAAGAAAAAATGCTGAAAAATGCGCAGATCCAGCACAACAACACTTAGTTCCATACTTATATCAATATTCCACTTCAATCGGAAATTTTCAATTTAGAATTGCATATAAAAAAATTATTCATCAAAATGAAAAGGCAAATTTTATTAACTTTCAGAATAGTCGGTAGCAATAGTAATGCTTTATAAATAAAATAAAAGATGAAAACTTTTCTGCCCCCTTCTACCTCCCATCTCTTATTTTTTTGATTGCAATGCACAAGTAGAATATTGATTGAATAAAAATCTTTTATGCAAATTTTACGTAATAACTTTCCTTTCCTGTGTACATACAGATAGATATAAAAAATATATAGCAAAATGCTTTTGAGCACTGGCACTGGCATTGGAGAGTTTTCATGTCCCATTCGTTTATCTTGCGTTTCAATTTCGTATCTGAATAAAGATTCAACGTGATGGGAATATTCATTAAATAAAATGAATAAAAAAAGGTGGAAAAGAAGTATGCATTTTATTTTACTTTTTTCCAAGGAAGTTACAGGAGAAAAAATATTTAAAAAATGGAAATGAAATTGGAAAATATCTCATAAAAGGGTCCATTGATGAAGCCTTTGATTGAATTGAGTAAAGTATACTTTATATTTCGAGATATTGAAATTAAATTAAAGTTTCTGTTTGAATACAAAAATAAGGGCAATAATGTAAATTAATTGCAAATTTCCTGATCGAATTTCACATTTTGTATTTTTATTCCATTCAGAAAAGCTCGTTCAGCATTTTGTTCTTAGTAGTATTTAACATCTATACCCGAGCGGTACACTTTAGTCGTTTGGGGGAAAAAATCATGGCTGCTGTTTGAAGGCAAAAAGATAAAAATTGTCAGAACGTTATGCTCGAAATATTTTGACGTAAAGTAAAAAGAACCAAAATTGAAACAAAAAAAAAGATGTTCAGCTATATAAAGCCCTAAGCATAAGATAATTTTTTCTTATCGTTCAGTAAATTTATGAAATATTTATGTGAATAAAAAATCTCAATTTGATTCTTAAGCTGACGTCTAAAATTCCAATCTGGCTTTTTGTCGGAAACGGAATCTACGTAAACAAGATACTGTCCACCTACAAAAGATACACGCGTCTGCATGAGATTTTTTTTCTTCTTTTTATTAAATGCCAAGAATGTTTTATTCATCGACAAAGTGTCTGAAAAGTGACAGGAAAAAGTAAATATTGAAGAAATATTCTCAAAATTGGAAATAAATTCTCAATCATTAATAACCTTAAAAAATAAACTCTAGCAAATCTTTCCTTTTAATTTTAATTCATTCTTTGTCTTAGCAATTACATTGATTGCCATTTGCCTTTGCACTTCTGTCATTCAATTGAAAACTATTGAACTTTGTAGGTGTGGAATCAAACGATTTTACCAAAGTACTTATTTGCAATGAATTTTATAAATGAAAAGTTTTCAAGGAAAATCTGGGAAAAATCAGTAAGGTGTTGACAGTGAGTCCTTGAAACTCTTTGTTCAAATATCAGCTATTTCTAGTATCTAGAACACAAACGCAAATAAAGGAAGTTAAAATCATAAACTTTTTTTTCAAGTATTTAATCACTTTGTCATTTCCATAAACTTAATGAATCTAGCAACTCCTTTAAAAATTCAATAAACAATGATCAAATCATGAAATTGAAAATCCCCTCAACACTCTCCAAAAGAGAGCTTGTCTACACTTAATCAAATATTGTTGCCAAAAAACAAATAAAAAGAAAATTCAGAACAGATTGTGATAAATACTCACAAAACATACAGATTATTCGACATGAATGGGTCAAATGGTGTATGTTAATCAAAATTCAAAAAGTTCAATCGCTTTCAATTTGTCATTTGCTGCAAAAACCACATATAAGATTGGTATTTCTAGCTTCTAATCACTGAATGGTAGCTTTTGTTGATCTTTTGTATCAACATGTTAGTCATTGCTCTACTATTTTCCTATTCATAAATGTTCTGTGAATTTATCCTCATGTTTACGTAACAGCTTTTCAGTCATATAAAATCGGAATTAAGAAAATGTGAAATAAAAATTGTGTGTGCTTATCTAGGATGTGAGTCTATAAATTGGAATTGAGAACAAATTTGGATCCTCCGTTAACGCTTTTTCGGATTCAACTATGTAAGCTTGTTTGCAGATAAAACCTGATGTGAGCCAAAAACTTCTAAGATCAATAACCTTTCTTGAGACTTTTCAATCTGCAATGTTTTTATTCCGATTTTTATCTAAATTTACCAAATCTGATCTTAAAACTATAGCTGATTTTGGTCCAAATCTCGGCCATACTTCACACTTATTTGAACCACATTTTCTCGTAAATGTTAAAATATTATTAAAAAAAATAATTCTGAATTATGTCGCTATTTTGGTAAGTGTTTTAAGATAAATAATTTGTTTTTTGGTTTCCACAGTAAAGAGTATGAACAAAATTCAGATGGGGTAGTCGAAATTTTAGATTTCGATTTTTTTAAGCTATGCATTACAAAAAGTAATATTGGTATGTGATTTATTTCAGAATTATGTCAATTCAAATAAAACATCCAAAAAAATTTTTTGACCAAAGTACACCATAGAAAATCAATTTTCAATTTTGGACTAGGGGCGACCCTAGTCAAAATCAATTTTGTCACTTTTTTCTTCGAGGGTTTATCCAAATACAGTGAAATTTTGTTTAAGTATACTAATATTTATCAGAGATCGAAGCCGATTTTTTCGGCTTAACTCAATTTTTGATTTTTTTGATAGAAAAAAGCCATTTGACACCCATTTCAAGTATTTAAATTAAACTTTACATGCTTTACTATGATTCTGTGTAATATTTTGTCAGCATGTAGCTATAGTGAGCTCAGAATTTCAATTTAGCCGATTTTAAGCCGATCGGCTTAAATTATCTATCAAAAAAATCAAAAATTGAGTTAAGCCGAAAAAATCGGCTTCGATCTCTGATATTTATACAAAACAGTTTTAAATATCTGTTTTGTTTTAAGCACTAGAATATTTATGCAAAGTTTCAATCCATTTTTATAAACCCTCGAAGAAAAAAGTGACAAAATTGATTTTGACTAGGGTCGCCACTAGTCCAAAATTGAAAATGTATTTCCTACTTGGTTCTATGCTCAAAAAAATGTAAGATGTTTTATTTGTATTTGTTTTAAGCACTTAAATATTTATGCAAAGTTTCAATCCATTTGGATAAACCCTCGAAGAAAAAAGTGACAAAATTGATTTTGACTAGGGTCGGCCCTAGTCCAAAATTGAAAATGTATTTCCTACTTGGTTCTATGCTCAAAAAAATGTAAGATGTTTTATTTGTATTTTTTTAAGCACTGAAATATTTATGCAAAGTTTCAATCCATTTGGACAAACCCTCGAAGAAAAAAGTGACAAAATTCTGAACTGGGTCGGCCCTAGTCCAAAATTGAAAATGTATTTGCTTCTTGGTTCTTTGCTCAAAAAAATTTTAGAATGTTTTATTTGTATTTGTTTTAAACACTAGATCATTTATGCAAAGTTTCAATCCATTTGGATAAACCCTCGAAGAAAAAAGTGACAAAATTGATTTTGACTAGTGTCGCCC